TGGGCGACTCTGACACCACGTTGCGATCGAAATTCATTTTCGTCATTAAAATTTATATCACTTTGCCAACTTCACGTCGTACATTTTCCACAGGACGTTTTCACTACGCCAGTAGAACCGGAGAATTTTCAAAGTTTCATATCCTCACGAAAAGACATTTCAATACCGGTTACGTCGACTGCCGTATCGATCGTCCGGCCGAAAGCTGTTACGAAATTTTTCCCCTTTTTATTCATTTTCCCGCAATTTTCAGCCACATCCCATTTTCTTTGTTATTGACACATTCGTCCCGGCGGGATGCTGCCGGCGTCGCAATAATTTCATTCCTCGTTACAGATGAACCCACGGACTGTGAAAACCAGAAGCGGCAGCTTCTTTTTTTAAGGGGTGTCCAAAAATTTGCCCACAACATCCAGCACTCCTCGTCTCGTTCAACCACCGAGCAAAATGAACGTAGAATTTATCAGTCCGTCGGCTCGTGAAACGTCGTTCACTCAAAGCGAGCCTTTTGAACCATCCTGCCAATATTATTTATCCATAACCACGTAGCTTTCGATTTCTACCACTTTTATTAGCTCCTTCGCCAGACGTAACGTTAATTTCCTAAGAAATTCGCTGGTTTTATTTTACCCACCCTTCAAAAACCCCTCCCCTACTCTCCCTGCTTCCCCTCCTGTTAAGCAGCCCCTAAGCACTTTGAACTACCTTCGAGCTCCACTGTATCCTTATCCACCGGTTTTACCCTAAAATCCCGTAGCCCCGCGATAGGCTGCCATTAATCGGTGGAATTAATGTCGCTTATAAAAAATATCTCCCAAGGCTTCATACGGCAGTGCATACGTACAGTCTGAATACGTACCTAATAATCGTAACAGTAATCGAGGTGCATAAAATATATGGGGTGATAAATAATTAATTTCCCGCACCACATACGTAGAACAAAGCAGGAAATTGAACAGGGAGATTATGGCGCCACCAAATCGGGTTAATCATTCAACAGATACTAGCTGCCAGAGGGCCACGGGCGATCTGATAGCGATTAAGGGAATTTTGCAAAACGAAATTATTCGATTAGGTATATACTATACACGTAATATAGTATACGCGAACCCATATTTCCCTCCCTGTGTAAAATAAGCCACGGGTCATTAGGCGCGCCTGTTCATCTTTTTTTTTACGTTCTATCACCCGATCGACCATATCGGGAACGAAGACTCGAAAATATTTGAGCCGCTCAACGTCGCAAAATTATATCGAGTGGTATCGTGCAGATTTTGAGGTTAATCGTCGTTCGTCGGCACAAGTCACTCGCCAAAAGCTTCTCAGTGTCCGATTCTCTTCGTAACAGTGTAAACGAGTGTGGTTTCACGAACCTGAATCTCAACCTTGAACATTTTCACAGTGACGTACAGCGTCTGAAGGTTACGAGACAGGGTTCTCCCGATGGTCTCGTTATCGTAAAAATATTTTGTGGGACCTTCTTTTTTTTTTCCAGCAAGTTTTAATCCCCCTGCTTTAACGTGAAACTTGGCACGTTGAACTTGTACCCCCTTAGCGCAACAGTGATAACCCGTGACAGCGGCCAGAGGATAGCTCGACGTAGCTGCGGAATAATTATGGTGAACGCGTGCAGGCTGCGTAATGGTTCATAATCGTGTGACGGGTAAGGGGCAAAGTTCAAAGCTTTACGATAGCATAAATGAAAGAGATTTTAACGAGAGTCAGGTGGAGCGAACAAATGCATCGACCATTTACGACAGCCAAGCCAGTATCGGCGAACATTTTGAAGATTGATAAGAGAGATAAAAAAAATATTTTTTTCTTTCCAAATCCCAGAGGATGACACGAAGTGGATGGAAAGGTCAGATTTGTTTAGGAATATAAGATCTTATCTTGGAGGGTTGATGGGTTCGAGCATAGGAGCGAGGCTCTTATCTGTACAGTGATAAAGCGGCCCAGTCAAGTTTTAAGGGTTAAAAGAAAGAGTGATAAGAATTAACGAAAATCTTTCGCAAAGTTTCAACGAAAAATCCATAAGGGGCTTTAGCTCGCGTCAAAAGTCTTGAATTACAGAAAAATTATGGCAAGTCTTAATTTTTACCTGAATAACAAAAAATTTCAACCGGGACTCCGTGTATGTCGGGCATGCGTCAGAAACTCGAGTGTTTCTATCCTGTTTCGGATCACTTTACTTCCTAATGCTCAAGAGCCATATTCCGGCCCTGTGTATTGTCCTGCGCAACCATGGTACCAAGGGGTTGTATTTTCTGGGGATTAAATCGTGAGACGTGTCAGCCGCGACTTCCTTCCTGCAGTCTTTAGTGACTTACTACGTGAATACTGTACGTTGGTTCAGGAAGGGTCGGCCGGCTTTGATATTAGTAGCTTTATGTATAGGAATTAATGAGGGGAAAAATTTTTTACATGGAAACGTCACTATTTCCTCAACTACGTCCGCCCTTATGGAAAGTACCCTTAGTATAATTTATCACTAACAGTAACAGTTTCCTTGCGGTAATCAATGGCAGCCGATAGACTCTCGGTTACTTGTCACAATTTAACACGTCATTCTCCCTGGCAAAACGTCATTGGCAATGCTCAATTTTACTAAGGGTAACATTATCATCAGCGGCGACAGCAGTTCGTAATGACTTTTAATTTTACGGTATACGGTCTTTAACTTTTTTTTTTTTTCTTTTCAACATCCATCAAAAATTGATAGCTAACATTTTATGGGTCACTCGTGTAATTTAGGACGGCACTTGGTACTTTAATTTATCGCGTAATAAACGGTCTGACGGTTGGCTCGGTTCTTTTTGCCAGCTAAAATGCTTAGTAGGCTTTAACGCGTAATGTCTTTTTCTCGTCTGGTAGTATCTGGAGTATATTGGAAACAGCATTTCCTGGTTTTTCGATGGGTCGACTTTATTGCGACGAAATGTAAACAAGGAACACGTGTAGATATGACGTATTTTTCTTGGCTGCACATTGTATGTATATACATATATGATTTTTTACGAAAATATTTCTATGCGCCTATATTTCTGTGGTACTACCTTTAAGTCCATAGACATATATGCATATGTGTATATATATGTATGGATAAAACATTTCCTGAGTACCTCAGCCATTTATTATTTTCTGTATGCATTTAGCGCGCACATCGTGAAACAATGTATTTTTTCTACGGCAAGATTAACGCCTCCGTACGAGAAACGTACCGTGGCAATTTTCATCGTACCGTTAATGTTGTGCAATTAACGAAATTTCAAATTGCCTGAAATTACGTTAAACGCCACAATTTATCAGCTCTCAGCAGTGATCCTCAATCGTCTGTACCTAAAGGCTCTGTACGGTCTGCAATCGCGATTTTACGGCAGGGATGTAATTGATCGTTTACTATTACCGGCATGCACGGCCTGCGGTGTTAACAAAACGCGGGCCTGTCGCCCAGAACCTTCGTGTCTCATGCGAGCCGAACTTAACGGCCGCGAATGTACTAGATGGTATAGCGAGAGAGAGAGAGAGAGAGAGAGAGAGAGAGAGAGAGAGAGAGAACAATTAATGGTACATTGCATCGTACGACAGATCGATATATATATATATATATATATTGTAGTTGAAAATTTAATCAGGAAATTAAAAATCATGCAGCTCGATATCCCATAATAAATTATATTTGTCGCTGAAATTGCTTCTATCAAAATGCACCCTTAGGGCAAGCGAAGGGATATCAAGGTCGTGATTGGAAGTCAGGATCGACTTATCTTTAGGAAAGATTCATTGGATTTACAATGAACGGTTTTATAGTGGATTACGGGTAAATCCATTTGGAATGCGTTGCAGTCGATATGAAAATTAGGTCTGAGGATTGAAGGTTTTAATATGTACTCAGACCAGGGTGAAACGACGTTCCTTATAAATTTTCGGGAGCAAATTTATACGTTGGTTCTCCCTGGGTTATCTCGTGCAGTATTGCGTGTCGAAAGATTATCTGAGAAAAATGTTTTATATATATATATATATATATATATTTTTTTTTTTCTAGTGAATTACGAGACTCGAAATTGCCTTCTGAAATGAGAAATGATAGAAGTTAGGATGCAGTGGAAGACAACGACCGCGTTGTATTATTATATTTGTACGAAATGATTTTTTCTTCTACGCTATCTACGCATTACGTGTGTATTAGATAGCGGGCAATAAATGAAAGAAAAATAGGGGAATTACCACCGATCGGATTTACATCGGAAAAAAAAATATATATATATATATATATATATATATTTTACGTGAAAATAAAATCCTAATCGATGGAACTGATAGGCACGATTATGATTACAGTTGTCTTTCTCTTAATTTATTGATCGTATAATACGTGTATGACGTCACGTGTGTATACACATAGGTACGGGTCGGACGAAGTTTCTGTAATATGAGAAATTCGGAAAGTTACGTAACGACTGAACATTCGCTGTGATTATTATGCACACGATAGACTCCGGCTTAATGATAAACTTTGACGTAACGTCGAAGGTGAAGGGTCAAGGGACATACGTCGAGCGTTAATTAACAGTTTAATTAGCAAATACACAGTTGTTCCTCTGTATTTGCTTATTGAGCGTCATAGGATTTGCTCGCAGTCAACCGTGCCACTTTGTGTGGACTGAGAGTAAAAGAAATTTAAAGTCCACGAGCAAATATATAAATGGCTTAATCAAACTGTCCAGCGTGCAATTGTGGATTTTGAAAACTTAACTTACCTAGGAATAGTCTATCATCAATCCTAGGGTCCACGTAAATGTATCAGAAGTCATTTACCCAATTCGTTTCGTGCATAAAACTCTAACGTAGTTTAGTCCATTTCAATGTTCCACCTGTCCCATGAAATGTAAACGTGGAACGAAGGACTGTATGATTCCTGAAGTAATAAAGGTGAAATTTTATATAAAAAATTTCTTCACCTCTCTACATAGATTTGTCGTATTACCTTGTTCCAGGTGGTTCGCCTAACAAGAAGGAATCGCTGACAAGTGCCGAGGGGAAATTGAGCGAGGCTGGAGGACACTTAAAAAATTGACGAGAAGCAATACGTAAGAAAGGAAATTTTGGAAGACAGTGAGAGCGAGAGAGACGGTATATGGTCGTCAGCGAATGTAAATGTATAGGGATACCAAGGGAAAGACAAGGAGAGACATACGTCTGGCCATAGGCCGTGTCCCGGAAGCCGTCAATGTAACAGGAGCTTCGACAGTAGCTTTACCTACTGCATGAGAGCTTGAAGCGAACTTGGGGAATACTTAACCCCGATCGCTTAAAGTACCGAAAGCACTCTAATTCCAGTATAACCGAGTGGCTCGTCGAAGGTATCGAACCGATCCTTAAAGGAAGTGAGAGAGAGAGAGAGAGAGAGAGGACTTTGGAGGTTGTAGGAACAATTTGGAGGGTTGGTCTTACAGCGCTACGGTGCTTGCCGGCATTTCGATATTTCGTCACGTCTTCTATTGGGGTTTATCGTCATGTCCTAAGGTTATCACGGGTGAGCCTGTAACGGGGAGATGCTTGTGTCGGTAATATCGGGGTCGTCCTTGTCGACGTCGGCAAGGGTGGCTTACAGTCATCCGATCGTGGGGAAAGAATCGGGCGCAAGAAAATCAAAGTGGAACGAGAAGGACTCTGGAAGAGGAGATAAATAAAAGGGCCTCGTGACGGAGAGCATTCGTACGGCCCTGGCGCGGCTGCGGCACGGCACCCCTTCGGGGGGTTCTCTGCCAAACACCCCGAATCCGCCCTCCACCCCTGAACACAAGGCCCACGTGAGTATCCTTCACTCTCTCTATATGTAATATTTCTCGATGAAATTTTTCATATTGATTTTATTGAAAGTTGACAAATTTTTTTCTTAATTTCTCTCTTTTTTCAAGAAGCCTCTTGCATATGTCCATAAACGCCCTATGGTTATACTTGTATGTGCACCGTGTAAATACATGGGCTTGCTTTCCTCTGTTGTCAAAGAATTCCCATTTTTTTTTCGATAAAGACGGAAAAGTCAAGTCTACGCCAGGCGAACGACCCTTGTGAGTTCTTTATGCTCGTACACGTGCCTGAAGGACTGCGTGCGTTTATCTCACTATCGGATTATTTTTCTGCGAATTGATACGCTTCTCTTGCGTTATTAGGATCGGCGTGTGTCCCTGTGTCGAGGAATCGTTATATTGACTTCAGGGAGGATTCGGTTACGGGATGCTTCGAGTCAGACTTGACGGAGCCACATTTTCTTGGCTGATCTCATCATACGGTATTTTATTGATTATTGCGTCCGCCGAGCAATAACTTTGATAACCCAACACTCCCCGGGACAATGAACAGGATACAGATATTTTTTTTTTCCGTGCATCTTTCTCATCTCGATTCCACTCTTTGCTGTCTCTCCGCCGGTACATTCGGTTCTTTGCTTCGGTGCTCGCTGACAAGTCGCCCAGTTTGATCGAACGATGACTTTTTCTACTGCGCTTGTCTGACCCAGAATTTCGAGAGCGACAGTAGCTACTAAACGGACCGAGTGCCAGACGAGAATTGCCAACGTGTGGCGAGAGGGATAAATGGGTGGGATTAAAAAAAAAAAAATAGGGATCAAGTCTTTAGCCTGAGACCAGGTCGCAGCGTTGTAATACAGTTTGTACGATTTATGTCTGACCATGTCGAGCCACTACTACTGCTGTGTCCCACATATCGAAATGGTATCTACTGCGCTCGTAACAGCTGATACGTATAATGGCTGTAAACACTCTAAAAATATATCTACAGGGTGACTAAATTGCTCGAGGACATCTTACGAGATGCATACAGAGACATTATTTACGCGTATAAAAGTATATGGCATACGCATACGGTGGTAGGAAAATGATGCAACGATTTTAACACGTGGTCTGTTTACATTTGGATATTAAGAATTTTTCAAAATTTCACTGTCGCGTTGCAATTTTCATGGATAAACAGCAGTGGTAGAAATTTACGATTCACCCTGTATACTGTGTCTGCGTATATCGTTGGTCAGACAGCGAGCGGAGTGTGTCTGGCTTGCTAGTGACTTTTACTACTTGCGTCACTCTTGGATAATTCCCAGTTGCCTTCCAGCGCGAGAGCCAACGTATAATGCGCGCGAGAGCCATAATACCCCTACGAGATTTCGTATGTCGTCTCGTGGCGCGAACTTTGAAACTGACAGTCGTTAACGTTAGAAAAAGTATATTTTCAATTTTTTTTTTTTTTTTCGTCCATTGACATTTTATTGGTAAGAGTTGTGACAGACCACAAATGAAAGTGGTTTGACAAAGAAAGAAATTTTTAATTTTTTTTTTTTTTTTTTTTTTTTTTTCGTCCATTGACATTTTATTGGTAAGAGTTGTGACAGACCACAAATGAAAGTGGTTTGACAAAGAAAGAAAGGAAGAAAAGAAAGTATCGAAGGCCACGTGGGTGCGTGTCTATTTCACGAGGACGCGACCTCTAACCTATAGTGGGATCGAAGAAGGAAAATCCCTTGGTGGCTGTTGGCCACCCCTCCTTCATACCACGTATAGTTTTCACGGCGGTTTCCCACATCTGTCGTGGCTGCGCCACTGTTGACTGTACAGTCTTGGGGTTCCGAGGTAGAAGGCCGGAGAAGCTATTTTTATTCCTTTAGCGGGAATTATCTTGGCTTATCTGCACTCAGTCAGTACTTAGCACAGTCGAGGAGAGAACAGTCGTTAACGACTCCGGAAAGAACCTGACGTTATTAACGATTGATCGTAACCTGGCCGCTCCGTGCGGCGTGCGAGACCCTTTGGCTCTGTCTCTATGCCAGGCGTCCTATATCGTTCTATACGCGGTAAAAGTTTAAATAGCATAACAAAGGCCAGCCGACCGACCTTAAAGACAATGGCCACTGTTGAATCGGCGAATAAGCTCGAATTAAATAAAAGGGACTGTTCGTAGGCTTCATCGATAAATCAAAACTTTTCGGTTGATCCCTACATTCCTCCTGCTGGCGGGCGACAACTTGTTCCTTCTGTGTTCACGGGAAACTTCGAGTGGAAAACTTTGCTGATAGTCGGGCTTGCTGGGACGACTCTGATATTACTTGTCGAGGACTCTTGGACTGTACGGATTCTTCGATTGAGATTGCATTGGGGTTAGGTAGGATTTTTAAATTTTATGATAACAGCGTTGCGATGGGGACTGTGGATATTTATTTGTACAGCGTGTTGCGTTTCACGTATTTTTATCTTGTTGGAATAATATACAGGGTGGTCTTATTGAATTTTTTTTTATTCTTTGGCACGTTTATGTTTTTATAGTAGGTTAGGTTAGGAAGGTACTGGTATCTTGTTTGTGGGTCTTTTTTTGGAGGGTTCTTGTTTAATCGATTTTTTTTTTTTCTAATAATTTATTTTTATTTATCCATTGGAACTCTCCGATACTCGATGGCGGTTGTATGGTAACTTTTGCGAAATTTCAAAGTTCCTGGTACTGTCGCGTGTTAGTTTACTGGTGGCATCGTTGCCATTTACGTTGTACGTGGTGATTGCGCGGAATTGGCCTAGTTGGCGAAACGCGTGAATGTCGCTTGCTCGAACGATACGTAGGACGATTATTATGGATCGAACAGTGCAGATCGAATGAGATCGAATGGCCGAAGCCGTTATCGGTTCTCCGATACTTGGCCATGTAAATCGAATGTACGTTGGATAATTGCGAAGATCCATCAGATTTCATGTGTCGGTTATTCGGAACACGGCCAGTGCACTTCCTGGCGATTATTTAGACTTTCTTTTCGTTGTTATTTACGTGTTAACGATATCCACGGTTTTTTTTTTTTTCACTAACGATATGACCTCTGGATACGAAAAAGGTGTCGCGGGTGGATTTTTCGAAAAATTTTTCGGACACTTTTTCTTTCGGCTATCGTACGCGAATATTCATATCGAGGCTTGACGTGAAGTTTGTGAGATTTTTTCGTGCAACTTTTTTTTTCAAGTTTGAAAATTTAATTTTTTTTTCTTACCCTTTTTTTTTCTTCGTCCTACCGTTTTACACGGGTACCGTCGAGTTTGTAAGTTTTGCAACGAGATGAAAAGTTTTGACTCTCGCCATACCTTGTATCTTATTTCTGACAGATCAGAAAACTATCATCAATTGTTTTCTGGACAATTCGCGAAACTCAAGGAACTATAGTGTCTCGCGTTTAAGTTCCATTCGGCTAAGTGAACGCTTTCGAAAAACTTGAGGGGATCTCTTGAAATTCTATGGGGGAATTTCGAATGTCATTTATTCTCGAGGAAACCGAACTTGCGCATAGTACATACTTGTATTCACCTTTTGACTAATTGTCCCTTCTTCCCTTTCTCACTTCTGCTTGTCCCAAGCAGATGCCTTGTTTCCTCTGGTGGTCCTGGGGTTGCGGCAAGTTCATGTTTTCTAGCTCAAAACTATACCCGAGGGCAACACGGGCCGAGTAACGAGCGGATTGGGACTGAATAATGTTTATTTTCATGACGGCCATATTGGATTTATGCTGATTTCTCACAGTAAGAATTTAACGTCAGGCGACGATTGATTTTTATAGACAGTGGAAGTATTGAATTTTTTTTTTCTTAATAAAGCCATGTATATTTACCGACTTTAATTTACTTTAACAGTAACGTTGGTTACTCTCAAACTGTGAACACTGACATTTTTATTTTCATGTATACGTTTGCCGTGTTCTTTCCGAATTCCCTCGGCCTCCGTGCAACACAAATGTCGATAATAGAAAAGCAACGAGAGGGTAAAGAGGTATGTGAAGAAATCTGATTTACCGACAAGGCAAAATATAGAAGAGCAAAATAATTCGCAATTCCACGTGTATTAGGTGCACCTGTTTTTGTGTAAATGTGCACTGTTTACCTGAAACGTCATATTTTTACTTTTTTTTTTTCCATACTAAACTCTTTTATCGTAACTCATTAGTATATTTTAATTATTGCCCGGTTGCTCACGCACCATTTGGCAAGAATCGTCGATCGCTGGGGAGGAATAATAAAAAGGAGGGTTGATTCTTGCGCCCCCCTGCGAATATATTTGCAATTAGCTTCGGAGCTCAGGATATCCTGGTAAGATTCAGGGGGTGGTACTGGTGCCTAGAGGGTTGTGAAAGGGAAACAGTAGAGGGGATGGTGGAACGCGAAGCTCAGGTGAATTTGTAATAAATCTAATTCGAATTACTTTTTTTATCTTTTTTTTTTGTCTTCGATCCATCGATGACCTGATTCAGATCCAGCAGGGGTCGCGGGATTGTAGTTGGTAATCGCGTTTCCACGTATTCCAAGGGGGAATAGGGGATGGATTACTCGGAGGAATATCGAAGAATATCTACCTCCAGCCTCTAATGGAACCTGAGGGTGTAGGCAGGTGGAAGTACATACCTTATACAGGGTGTTCGTTATGAAACGCACTGTAGTAACATCGTTGCATTCCTTATCAAATTCCAAAGAATACGTGTATTTTCATTTTTTATTTCATATATCAAAATTTCGAGATAATCAAGGTTGAAGTTGCAGTAACGCGACCAATCAGAACGCGTTTAAACCGAGCGTAGATGACGTCGCGAGTCAGCCCACAAGGCCTGCTTACACTAGGCCAATAACACTAAGAGTATCGTCTCTTGTATCTTACTCAATTACATGTAGATAAACAGGGACACTACGACGATACTCTTAGGGTTATCGGCCTTGTGTAAGCAGGCCTTGTGGGCTGACTCGCGACGTCATCTACGCTCGGTTTAAACGCGTTC